TTCTGTTCAGAATATGAATTGTGACACTCTCTGGAACCTTTCGAATGTATAGTGTAGACTGAATTGACTGCTGAATAATCAGCACTGTAAAAGTCACATCCATCTTCCTAATCAAGTTACTTAGATGGTAAGCTTTGTCAATGTGTGTCAAGGATACCTAGAATGGAAATAACTTGTTGTAAAGTAGGATCTTATATTAGAAGTAATGAGTAAAATTATGAAAATATAATCTTCATATGCTTCATTACTGGCAGCTTGTCATAAAAAATGGAACGGGAGTTACAACAGTACAAGTATATTCATAAGGCAGATTGTGTTTTCATGCATTTGTAATGAGGCTCATTCAATTGAATCTCTTTTGAGGGTAGTTTTAATTACATTACGTCGTTCAATGCAGGGTTGAGAGTTCATTTTGCAAACTGTTCATTCCCTAAACTCCACTACTTTAAGAGGATCTGGGGAAATGTTAAACTCAACTAATGTAACTATAAGAAATGAAAACTATCAAATGCATATCTTGGGTATGGGGCGACTCAAGTGTTTTGTAAGAGGTTTATGAGAATTTTTATGTTACCTTCAGGTCACCAGTTCAAATGTGGCCCAGGTTGGTAGTGACTAAAGTGAGACCTATCTGTTCCCACTTCAGATCTTAGTCACTGCTGTAAAAAACAACTGTTTTAAAATTATTAATGATACTAAAATAGGTACAAGTTGAATAAACCCATTGCTTTAGAAATATGAACTATTCCTATTATTGCTATAAGGAACAAAACAAGAATAATTCAATAAATTTTAGTTAATGGGAACTATTAAAGGAGTAGCAAAAATTTTCAAAGACCATTTTCAACATACCACCACAACATTTCATAAGCTCAGTACAAAACAACATGACAATAACAATGTTAGAGGCAGCAAGGATAGAGTGTGGATAGAGTGTCAGATCTGGAATCAGAAAGACCTAGGTTCATAATCCTGTGTGACCCTGGACAGGTCATGTAACATCTGTCTGCCTCAGTTTTGTCATCTGTAAAACAGGAATAATAATAGCAGCTAACTCCCAGGGTGATTGTGAGGTTAAAATAAGAAAATATTTGTATAGCACTTTGCAAACCTTTAAGGGCTATTTAAACATGAGCTATTTTTACATTATTATCATTATCATGGCCATTATTAACCACTCAAATCAAAGCAGACACCATTTGATATTTTGCTGTTATTAAATATGCTAAGCCAGGAAGAAAGATCCATCTATGGTACAACAGCTCCTTTGTACAACAGTACTAAAGGTTGCAAAACGCATCAAAGACAGAATGCTCCATAAAATTTAACATACCAAGGGGGGCAAAATGATGAGGACAGTAAGATCATAGATGAAGAGCTAAGAGGGATCTCAGAGATCATCAGATCCAAATCCTGTACCCTCCCCCATGCACAGCATCACCTGTACGTATATATATTTAGAATCAAAAAAAGGACCCTAGGGGCCATCTGGTCTACCTCTACTTTACAGAGAAGGAAACTAGAGAGATCACCTGTATCTAAAGTCCTCTGCAGTGGCAGAGGAAGGCTTTCAGACCAGGGTCTAAAATGAAGGAGTTGGATTAAATGGCCTCTGTTGTCTGTTTTGGCTCTAAAAGTAGAATACCAAAATCCTATGACCCTTTGACCCCAAATCCAACAACACTTCTTCCATGACACCTTACAGCTTCTCTAGCAGTAGGAAACTGGTTTTCTTCTTGTGGTTGAATAGACAAAGGAAGGTGAGCAATTTGTTAAACTTAGTCCCTAGAACAAACAAAGGCAAGTCCCAGGCATTTGCGAAGCTGAGGCAGATTTGGAAAATTGGAGGCATACACTTGAAAAATACATATTCCTTGTTATCAATTGCCCACAAGAGGCATTATTGTTTCCATTGTAAACATACAATCTGACTTCATTAAAAAATAAATTATACATCTCATGGAGAAGAGTAATGTCCACCATTAAAATATGCATTTATATAAAATAATATTAAAAAATGTACCTCTTTGGTGCCTCATCATTACCGTTATTATTATTGTTCTTGTTGTGGATAACATTTTCATTGCTTTCACTGAAAGCACTTTACATATGTTATGATTCTCACAACAACTCTGTAAGGTAGGTGTTTTTATTACCCTCATTTTACAGATGAAGAAATTGAGGCAGACAGAAGTTAAATGACTTGGCCAGAGTTACACAGCTTGTAAGCATCTGAGGCCAGATTTGAACTCTTCTTCCTAACTCCAAGTCCCATGCTCCATTCACATTGCTCCACTTAGCTGTCTTATACCTTGGTGCTATATCATAATTGCTGATTTTCACAGATTCACTTATGTAAAACGTCTTTTTACCTCTTTATAGCTAAGTTGACAAGATCTTGATTATTTCCTATGTGTTGCTATATCTTTCCTTTTAAAATATCATTTTCTCTTTAAAGAAAAGATAAAAAGGCAGTTCATCTGCAATATTAGATCATGATTGGTTTCTTGAATTTAATAATGGACTACTACTGATCCTTGTTATAAATTTTCCCCTTAAATACTGAAGTCTCTTCTTAATCATCTTCATGGCTAAGCTTACTTGAATGTTCCTGGCTTGGTTGCTGTTTGTGTTTTCCCATATAGCTATAAATCACTTTTAAGAAATTAATGTCTGAATCTCTTTTAATTTTCAACACGCAATTTCTCCTTTATTTGTTCTCCTCCCTTTAGTCCTTTTTTTTCTTTCTTTCTTGAGAATATGAATAATATTCCAGAACTAAGCAAATCCCAGGAACACTCACTGGGATCCACTTTTCACCACTGGAGAGATTCTGTTTCCTAACGACCATGTTATTTTTTTCCCTCGTATTTACAAACGTTCATGAGTATAGATAGTCATTTTCTCATCATTACTCACCTTTACACCTCAACACTTTTTCTCATTACTGAGACTGAAAACATATGCCAGATTTGTAAAGTTCCATAAAAATTTACCTCTCTAAATCCCCTGAATTTATACCTTACTAATTATATTCAACTCTGTTTGCCTTACAGAAGCTCATCAAAGGAGACCTGTCACATAGCAAGAATGAGAGATATTAATAGATGACTAATCTGACTAATCTACTTGTACTCCAAAAATGCCAAAAGAATAAAATAAAGGCTTTCATAAAGGTGAGTTGGGTTCCTCACAACAACCCTGTGAACTAAGTGCTATTATTATCCTAATTTTACAGGGGAGGAAACTGAGGCAGACAAATCAAGTGACTTGCCCAGAGTTACACAGCAAGTAAACTGTCTGAGGCTAGGGTTGAACTTGCATCTTCCTGACTTCAGGCTCAATACTAACTGCTCTTAGAACCAGTTACAGAAGGTTCCACATGTATACTTCAGTCATACTTTATCCTGATTCTCCCAGAAGTAGCCTTCTAATATTCTCCACATGAAGAGGTTATCTGCGGCACTCTGGTCACGTGACCGAACCTGATTACATTATAATGCCTAAAATGTCACAAGATAGACTATGACTCTTTACAAAAATAAAGTTTCAGTTTAGGATAATGGGCTTTTAAGACATGCACTACCTGCAGAGATCTGTCTCCAGAAGCCCCTTTCCTCAAAAGCCCCTTGCAAAAGTCTATAGGGAGACTTTTTCATGGTATATATACACAGCTCATATTCTAAGATGAAATTGGACCACAAAATGATTTGTTGTACAGAAATTTACAGACATCTTCTACAGAAAAGCATCTATCCAGAAAGGAAAAAAAATTATCATTTTGTGTAGCCTTAGAGGACTAGAATTTGCTGCTGCACAGGATCCTTCTTTGGGCCTAAAATGATTTAAATGGGACCATATTAACAAAAAAATTCAGATAACCCCTTGTGCACCCACACTGGAAATGAGTTTTCTCCTAACCTCTCTTTGACAGAGTGGGGTTAAGAAGTGGTTTAGCCTTAGAACACAACAGGATTTGCGATACCAAAGAATTGTACAACAAGAAAAAAGAGGTATTATCTGTGCTTGTTAACTGTCTTTCCTTTCCCTCCTTATTTGAACCTCTGTGTGAGGGATAAGAGTTAGAGTGACTAGGGACCACAGAGAGAGGCGCAGACAGCATGACCAGTGTTGTCCATTAGCAGTTGAGGCCAAAGAGTCACCAAGGCTCTTGTTTGCTTATTGTTGATTGAACTCTCATTTTCCCTTTAATATATCAGCTTTAGATGAGATGTGAATGCCCCTCCCTCACACATTTTCTTGAGCTTTAACAGTGCTATCCACACATATCAAGAGATTTAAGTGGGAACAAGGAGAAAGATGAGGAGAAAAATGATGGCAACTGTCTCTGTACAAGAGTTCTAGTATCTAGTTTCCTTTAAATTTTATTCTATTTACAATAGACTATTTGAGCAAAACATACTATCAGAGCCTATGAATGACATGGGAAGTGGCCTGAGAGAGTGGAATCCCCTAAGGGGTTGGTGCTCAAAGTCTTACATAGATAGTAGATTCATATTTTAATATCTTGACAAAATCTCATTTCATATCTGAGACCAGGAACCCATCTGACAAGGGTTTAGTTAAAACACGAGCCACTTCAGAGCCAACTACATGAAAGTAACAGCCATTTATAGGGCCACTCAGCATGCTCAGGCTTCCAGACCTACTATCAAGTGACTTTTGCTGGAGTGCCTATATAGGGAAAACAGAGGATAGGTATTTTGTCAGCTTTGAGTTAAGTAATTAACTAACTAGTTAACTAATTAAAACACGGTACTCTAGCTGGTTTAAATTCCCTTGACTATATAACTTTATAACCCTTAACTATAATTAACTCAATGATTGCTGTATCTCTGTATGGAAAATGGAGTAACACTAAGGTAAAAAGTCATGTATGAAAATCAATTCCTCAATAAAAGTTACCTAGTCTCAAAAGTGTGAGGTAAGGAAAAGAATAATAGTATACCATTCAAATTCATGCAGGAAGCTTAATTTACCTTCATTGGAGAAATAAAAATTACACAATCTATCCCTGAGGACAGAATGCATTTTCCACATGACACACATTCCCTGTCGTTAGCAAGTATTTCCAAGATTTCTGGGTAACGTGTTACATATCGCTGATACAATGGGTCCTCCTCGCTTATCTGATTCATGATATATCTTGCTGCAATTTCCTACAAGATTAAAAAAAGAATCAAGTTCTATAGATTATTTTCACAGTAACCACATTTTAAACTAAATTGCATCATACTGCAGAAGGCAGTTTGGTTTAATCAGAAGCTTACAGTGAATTAAAATCATGAAATCGTAGTAAAGAAACTGAAGGCCTTAGAGGAAGATGGGGTATTTTCATCACTTGCTGATAAAAGGCAACGGTTTCAGAAGAGGAAGGCAATTTTGGGAAGTAAATAATTGGGTGAGAAGATAGTGTCTAAGAGTGAGATTTGGATTTCTAGATGGACTATTGCTTAAAGGAGGGAAAAAACTGCTATAGCCATACTATAAGGGTAGCTATAAGATAAAAAGGAAGAATGGCAACAGATACATACAGGATTTTAATAGGAGCTAGGATCCAAGAAAGGAGCTAAAACTTAAAACCAATGGCCTTGGATATCTGTAAATGAATGAACAAAGGATGGCCAACAACTAGCACTTCTATCTCAAAGAGTCAAATTTGATCTCAGTAAATGAATGTTGGGATGTTGTAGAGGGTACTCATGCTTCAGGTTGGGATTGAACATGACATATGAGTTAACTTCCAAATCAAAAACTCTGGGCTTCCATTCCTTATCGTCTAAACAATGGATTTAGCAACTAATCAAGTACTACCTTGAACTGTCACTGAAATATATTGTTACTTTAATCAATCAAACAGTAAATACTTATTAAATACCTGCTATGTGTCAGGCACTGCTAAATTCTGAGGATATAAAAAGAGACAAAAGATTGTTTCTGTCCTCAAGGAGCTTACAATTCAATGGGAGAAACAACATGAAAACAAATACATATTAAAGCAAGCTATATACAGGACAAATAGGAAATAATTAGCAGAAGGAAGGCCTTGGAATTAAAAGGAGTTGGAGAAGGCTTCCAGTAAGGGATAACATTTTAGTAGGAACTTAAAGGAAAATCAGTAGTTGGGGCCTGGCGGGTGGGGGAGGAGAGGACAAGAGCATTGCAGCCAGAGAATTCCTGAAGCTGAAAGATGGAGTGTATTGTTTGTGGAACAGCCAGGAGGCCAATGTCAGTCGATGGAAGAGCATGTGGTAGGGAGCAGTGAGGTGTAAAAAGTCTGAAAAGTTATGAGTGGCCTAGGTTACAAAGTGCTTTAAATACCAAACAGAGCATTTTGTATTTGTTCCTGGAGGCAATAGGGAGTCACTGGAGGTGTAGGGGTGTATGTGTGGGGGTGTATACACATATACATATATGTGTGTGTGTGTGTGTGTGTGTGTGTGTGTATGTTTATGTGTGTATATATATATATGTATGTGTATATATGTTAATATCGCCCAAATTAGAATGGAAATTGTTTCTGGTTAAGAGTCATACATGATAGGGGCATCTAGGTGGCACAGTGGATACAGAACCAGCCCTGGATTCAGGAGGACCTGAGTTCAAATCCAGCCTCAGACACATAACACTTACTAGTTGTATGACCCTGGGCAAGTCACTTAACCCCACTGCCTAGCCAAAAATAAAAAGTCATACCTTATACTTCATGCCTTGAAAATGTTCTCACGAAACAAACCCAGGAATTATATAAACACAATTACAAAGCACTTTTCACGCAAATAAAGTCAGATCTAAACAACTGGAAAAACATCAGTTGCTCATGGGTAGGCCGAGCTAATATAATAAAAATGACAATTCTACCTAAATTAATTTACTTATTCAGTGCCATACGAATCAAACTACCAAAAATTATTTTATAGAGCTAGAAAAAATAACAACAAGATTCATTTGGAAGAACGAAAGTTCCAGAATATCAAAGGAACTAATGAAAAGAAATGCTAGGGAAGGTAGCCTAGCCCTACCAGATCTTAAATTGCATTATAAAGCAGCAATCATCAAAACTACTTAGTAATGGCTAAGAAACAGAGTGGTTGATCAGTGGAATAGGTTAGGTACACAAGACACAGTAGTCAATGACTATAGTAATCTACCATTTGATAAACCCAAAGACCCCAGCTTCTGGGATAAGAACTCACTATTTGACAAAAACTGCTGGGAAAAAATGGAAAAGAGTACAGCAGAAACTAAGCATAGGCCAAAATCTTACACCATATACCAAAATAAAGTCAAAATGGGTCCATGCTTTAGATATAAAGGCTGATACTATAAGCAAAGTGGGAGAGCAAGAAATAGTTTACCTGTCAGACTTACAGACAACAGAAGAACTTATGACCAAACAAGAGATAGAGAACATTATGAAATCCAAAAGGATAATTTTGATTACATTAAATTGAGAAGTTTTTGTACAAAGCCATTGCAACCGAGATTAGGAGGGAAGCAGAAAACTGAGAAATAATTTTTACAACCAGTGTCTCTGATAAGGGCCTCATTTCTAAAATATATAGAGAACTGAATCAAATTTATAATAATACAAGTCATTCCCCAATTGATAAATGGTCAAAAGATATGAATAGGCAGTTTTCAAATGAAGAAATTAATGCTATCTATAGTCATATGAAAAAAAAAGTGTTCTAAATCACTACTTATTAGAAAAATGCAAATCAAAGCAACTCTGAGATACCACATCACACCTATCAGATTAGCCAACAAGACAAAACAGGAAAATGATAAATGTTGAAGAAGATGAGGGAAAATTGGAACATTAATGCATTGTTGGTGGAGTTGTGAACTGATCCAACCATTCTGGAGAGCAATTTGGAACTATGCCTAAGCTGTGCATACCATTTGATCCAATAATACCACTACTAGGTCTGTATCCCAAAGAGATCATAAAAAAGGCAAAAAGACCCACATGTACAAAAATATTCACAGCAGCTCTTTCTGTGGTGGCAAAGAACTGGAAATTGAGGAGATGTCCATCAATTGGGGAATGGCTGAACAAGTTGTAGTATATGAATGTAATGGAATACTATTGTGCTATAAAAAATGATGAGCAAGTGGACTTCAGAAAAACCTGGAAAGACTTATATGCTGAGGGACTGATGCTGAGGGAAGTGAGCAGAACCAGGAGAATGTTGTACACATTAACAGCCACATTGTGCAATGACTAATTGTGATAGACTTAGCTCTTCTCAGCAATGCAAGGATCTAAAAATCTCATGATGGAAAATGCTATCCACATCCAGAGAAAAGACTATGGAGTTTGAATGCAGATCAAAGTATACTATTTGCTCTTTTTTTTAATTCTGTTTTGTTTCTTCTTTCCTCCTATTGGTTCTAATTTTTCTTTACAACATAACTAACACAAAAATGTTTAATCAGACTGCAGGGAGGAGGGGAGAGAGGGGGAGAAAATTTAAAACTCAAAAGCTTATGAAAGTGATTGTTGAAGACTAAAAATTAATCAATTAATTAATTAAAATTTTTAAAAAGAAGGAAAAGATGGTCCCTGCTCTCAAGGAGCTCATAGGTTAATAGCTGAGAGCTAACATTTACAAAGCACTTATTATGTGCCAGGCACTGTGCTAAGTGCTTTACAATTATTAACTCATTTGATCCTTATAACAACCCTGGGAAGGAAGTGCTATTATGATCCCCATTTTACAGCTGAGGAAACTGAGGCAAACAGAGGTTTAGTGACTTTCATAGGGTAACAGAGTAGGAAGTGTCTGAGATGGAATATGAACTCCCATTTTCCTGACTGCAGGCCCAGCAGTCTCCCCTCCTCCCTCGTGCCGTTGGCACAACTGCCTTGTAGATCTACTACTCCTAGGCCTCAGTTATTGCTAATGTTGGGAAGTAGTTGGTGTGGTTTATCTCCATCCACAGTGAAATTAAAGATATTTGACTTTAAAATGGGTGGGTATACACAGACACACACACACACACACACACACACAATCATACATACATGCATACATAAATGCAGACACACAAATATAAGATACAGGATTATATGTTTATACTGAAGATACTTATGGTATTGGAGAGGATGATGATACAGTGCGTGCACAGAACATTCTGATTTCTAAACCATTTTTCTAAAGAAAACCAACTTTGTTGAGTGTGTAGCATTAGAATTATTATGCTTTTACAGATGAGGAAATGGAATGCCCAGAGATAACACACATTGCCTTTACCCAAGGTCTCAGGGCTGACACTGTTTGGCATAGATGTTACAGTTTGCTTCTTCTTGCTTCGTTCTCAGCCCTCTTTCAACCACCCCATCTTTCCCGTTGGATCTGCTTAGGCCATGTAAAAATGAGTTAGCATTCCCCATGCATGGACCATATAGGGGTTGTTTATTAAGAATAGCACAAAGGGCATTTTGGCTGAGTTGTAGAGAGTGGAAAGTAGAGTAAAGCATAGGAACGTTGGGGTAGTAAATTGTTGCTAGATTGTGAATGGCATTACCTGCCAGACAGAGAAATTGATATTTGGCCCTAGAGGTAGCAAGGTGCTACTGAAGTGCATTGAATAATGGAATCAGCCGGTCACACCTGTGTTTCAGGACAATCATTTTGTAGGTACACTATAGACTGAAGAGGGAAGAATTCAGGGAGACCAGTTAACAGGTTGTTTTAATAGTATAAGCAAGAGGCTCAGGAAATTGTAGGAACTGAGTAAACCACACTGACTCTATCTTGTACTCGATTCTGGGTCTAGTTCAGTTCCCTTTCTATTCAGTTATGGGTCCAGTCCAATTTCTGCCTTGTGAGGAGATTTCTTTCAGTTATGGGGATTGTGAGTAAACTTTATTGAATTGTTTGAACCTGTGAGGCTAGGTAGCTGGCCCACCTCTACCTGCTGTTTAAAGACCCTTAACTAAGGACCTAGGTTATGCTGACCAGAAACCTAGTCAGCTCCAAAGACTGATGCGAGGAGTTTTCTCACAATTGTACATCTCAAGCAATCCATATGTCTTATCTAAAAACTGGCCCCATACTGATCAGTTATTGTTTCCAACTTCATTTTATTGAATACAGACACCTGCAAGGAGTGGAAGACCTCCTTTTCTGATTTTAGGAAACTTATCTGT